AAAATTGATAATGAATGAAGGTCATACGCTTCGCCAAGCTACTTTTCATTTCATCTATCTTTTACACTGCGGGCCAAAAAGCTGTACCTCTTCCCTCCCACCCTCATTTTTCCAAGCTCCGCAAAGTACATCTTGGTAATTTTACCCAAGTGAAAAACAAATTCTCCCCTGCCCCTCCCTCCCACCCTTCCCTCACCAACTTGTTAATGCTTAAAAACATGATGCTAATTTTATCGATATGGAGCTAAATTTAGTTCCGAGACATAATTTATCACAGTTTTGAGTAATTCAGTTTGCGAATCATCCTTGCATCAGCTCAATCCACTCGTCTGTTTCACTCGGTAGAAAAATTGTATATTTCTGAAATCTCAGGATCACTAGAGAATTCTTCCAGAAATATCGCGGAAAAACACTTTTTTTTTAAAGTTTGCACACTTAAAAAAATGAAAGGAAGAAGGATGGGTCGTTTGTTTGTTGGACTGGGAAGACTGCTTGTCTTTGTGTTGCTCAGATTGCTAAAGCGAAGATTGAATCAGTATGCAAATACAGAGTTTGATAGGATATGCTTTTTCTAGTAAACATGCTTGAACATATCTTACTCTGAGACATTCAAATGAAAAGCCAGCCATACGAGTGGTGGTTTGTTCTTTTTCCGAAAATTTGACAAATTTTTAAAAGATGGAAATCTGTGCGCTCCTCGCATTTTGTGGGGGAGGAGAGAGGAGGGGAGAATTGAGGAAGGGAACAGAGCTAATCTAGTGATTAAGTTTTACCTCCAGGGCAAACCCGGGTAGTACTACCCTCACAAATTAAGTTATCCTAAAGATTTGCTTCTGGAAATGAAATTTTCTCCACTTGGACTGCTAATTGCTGTAGTTATGTGTTGCCCTGATTTCTTTAGTAATTGAGGAACTTAACAACAAAAAATGAGGGAGTACCATTCGTGCTAGTTAAATTATTCTAGAGATTGCTTCTAGAGATAGGATTTTCTCCACCGGTCTATTTTTGTTTGTTGCAAGTTTTGCACTAGTTATTGCAAGTTCCACACTAGTTACGATAAAATTTCCTGAACACAGATAGATTTTGAAAATCAACAAAATATATTTTCTTCATGCGGTGGTTTTTGCAAATCACTGAGGCAAGTAGCCGCACTAAAGGTTTTCCCTCAGATCAGAGGGTCGATTCAGAGGAATCGATGAAGGCACTTTCTCACTAGGCCATCAATATATTCAATTTATTTGATGCTTGACACAGCCATTAATTCACCACTGATTCATCATCAGCATCGTAGCCGACACCAGTGCCAGTGACCATTGCTACGTTTCTTGGTGGTCAGTGGTCAGTCTTCTGGCCGTCCTAACGTTCTTTTCATCCTCTCAGCGGATTGCCGGCTCAATAACTCTCTGGACAAAAATATTGGGGCAAGCCTCTAGTCAAATGGAAAGTCCAGTCGTTGGTTATATCTCTGAGCATAATTTACCTCATCTTCAGGCACTGCCACTCCCGAACTCGTTAAAGCACTCTGCCGTTCAAGAATATTAAAATGTATTCACGAAAAAAGCGCATTTTCGCGAATTGCATCGTTTTCGTTCACCTTCTACAAACAATTCCTGCTTTCACGCACCAAACCCGGAAACGAAATTTCTAAGTAAATTTTTTAGGAAATTTGTGCACATAAAAAAGGATTGATTGATAGATGTAAGTAATTTCCCAAAGTGGTTGTGTTTTTGCTGAAATGCACAAAGACTGGCTTTTTTGCAACAATTCTGGAAGTTCACTTTCGGAACAATTTTGTCAGAATGTGTCAGCAAAACATTTTCCTGCGGCTGGATTTTTCGCTGCTCCATAATTCACCTCACTTTTCTCTTAATTTCAAACATTTTGACGCCTTTCTCGAAGCGAAAGAGGAGCGTCCCTCATTTTTCCTCAGCTAAAAATGCTAGTAATCTGGCTTCAAAAGTGCCATGGAGTTTTTTGTAGGAGTATCGTAAATTACCGTACTCAAACCTATGCCATTGTTTTTTTTGCGATCTAATTTATTGTGCCATTACGGTAACCCATTAGTCTGCGACAACTCGGCTCGCAGCAGCGCATCATTTTCTATCGTTGCTTTTATTAGCATTGCAATCCCAGCAGCTTTGCTAGTAATTTTTTTTTATCACGTGGTAGAGACATTCTCGGATCCAGAGAAAGTCGTGCGGCTCGGGGTCTTTTTGATTATAGGGCATGATTCATCAGCGCATGAGGCATGATGCTTTATTGTATTTTAGACTAGTTATCATAAATTAAACCATAATCTAACGATATCTGATTCCCGAAACTAGGAACAGAGAATATTCCAGACAGCAGAATATTATGGTATATGTGAAAGTAAAAACAACACCTGTTCCAAAAGCATATGAGGAACTTTTGTTATTTTGTTTTTTTTCTTATTTTTTCGCACTTTTTTAAACAGATTTTCATTTTATATAATATTATAAAACATCAGAATTTTGTCATAAACGGATTCTAAAATTGTGTTTACCAAGGCTTCTGGATGCATCGGAAAAAAACAAAAATAAAATATCCACTGGATTATTTCAAAAAGTTCAGATTCTCCAGAAAATTCTCTTCCCCTCTGTCACTGCTTAGAAATATTTTGGTTCCACTGACACGTAGCTGAGTTGATTTTTCGCTTTGGAAAAATTTATTTGTTCAAGAATTTGTGCTGCTTTATCTACTGAAATACAAAATATATGCATATATGTACATATATTATATGGTTATGCAGCCTAGGATCGAAAAACCTATTATAGCTGCTTTCTCTGTGTAGGAGCATCCCAGTA